ATTGCAGAGTTTAGGGCCCTGATCCTCTCAATCAGTTCTGTCCACAGCAGGGATATGACACAGAAAGCCAAGTCCTTCAACAAACCCCTTACCTCACTTCTCACATGTCCTCCTGGCGCAGGTGGAGCCGTGTGGCCCTGGAGAAATCGTAGGCAGCAAGCTTACTTAGGACTAATCTTCTGATGCGTATTTGCACACTGGGACATAAAGCAAGAATTTTTTTTTTACTAGAATCCTTTTCGTCTAAGCTCAGGAAATTTTACTAAAGCTACTTTTAATTTATGAAATTTCACTGTCTATAAAATTTCTACGAAATTTCACATCAGATAAAACCAAGGATTGTTAAGTCACGACACATCTTCAGTTGCTATTTGCGTGTGGACACACACATGTATCCGTGTAACTTTTCCTAGACACTCTGCACATGTGTGTGCCCCTATTTCACCATGAGATTGTAAACCTGCCTCCTCAAGGTCGGGGATTATGCCCTCCTAACAGTCCAGGACTTTTGAAAACTTAGACTACAGGAACCAAAGTAGTGAGAAAGGGGATATTAGAGGAAAGAGATATAGCAACAACTAAGACTTAAGACCAAGTGCAGATTCTAAGCAGTTCCACTGCTTCTGATGTCACTCCCAGTGGCCACAGACCTGCATACGATCCTGCTCCAGGGCGGGGAAGGGCGGCAGAAAAGTGCAGCCACTCAGAGTGGACACAGAAACTTTCGGGTTTTCAACTTTTTTTTTTTTCAGGTTTATAGCTGTTTTCTTCAAAATGTAGTGAAAATTGAGTGATCTACTTCATCAGAATCCAATTATACCAGAATACAAGAGCTCAAAGCACAGTCACACAGATTCACTATTGTTCTGAGTGGAAGGGACTCCAGGAAGCCAGATGATGACACCACACATGGAACTGTGAGCCTTGTCACTGAACTGCAGGGCCAGGACAATGCAGAGGCTGCCTGGCTTCTAAGGCAAATTGATCTGACTGGTGACTTGAATGGTGAGAAAATTATCAATACTTGAAATACTTCTAGAGTAGAAGTAGAAATCACATTCCAAGTCTTAGGGGTTTTTTTTTTTTGTATACTTCCAAACTTGTTCCTGTACTTGCTAAACAGTTCATGAAAACAAAAACAAGTTCTGTCAACGGCCTCCATACAATTCTTCCAGAAGGTTGTGTATGTTTCACTTGTAGGAAAACTTTAAAGGACTGCAGACTGATTAGTCTACAAACCTGCAGACTTCAGGTTATTGTTCTGTGGTTTTTGAAGTAGCATGATAAGGGGTGAGAGCATATGCTCTGGATTTAGGTGTGCTAGGTTTGAATCCTAACACTGTTAGTTTGTATCTGAGCTGCTGATTCATCTTCTATAAAATGAGAGAAATTACTGCCTAATTCCCATGGCTATAAAGTTAAAAATTAGATACTATATATAACTCAGTTGACATTCCTTTTCCTAGAATTGTTTTTTAAATATCAGGGTCTTCCTCTGTTACCCAGGATGGAGTGTAGTGATGCAATCACAGCTCACTGCACCCTCAAACTCCTGAGCCAGGGTGATGCTCCTACCTCTACTTCCCAAGTAGGTGGGACTACAAGTATGCACCACCACATCTGGCTAATTTTTATTATTTTTTTGTTCAGGCTGGTCTCAAATTCCTAGGCTCAAGAGTGATCCTCCTACCTTGGCCTCCCAGAATGTTAGAATTATAGGCGTGAGCTACCATGTCCAGCCTGATTTCTGTTCATTTTTTAACGGACACAATCCTCAATCACTAACAAGAGAAACAGCCAAATAGATGGGAAAAATTTTATGAACCCAGAAAATGCAAATCAAAATGAGACTTAAAAACAACAATGTTAGCCAAGTCTGCTGAACTCAGGAGGCCCATGCTACAGGCCATTGCCTGCAGGACAAAGCAAGCGTGTTCATCCCAACCCTCCAAAACCAACAGCTGCAATGTTTTCTCTTTAGAAAGGAGAACTGGGCTCAGCGCCTGTGGCTCAGCGGCTAGGGCGCCAGCCACATCCACCAGAACTGGCAGGTCTGATCCCAGCCCGGACCTGCCAAAGCAAGGAAAACTACAACCAAAAAAATAGCCGGGTGTCGTGGTGGGCGCCTGGAGTCCCACCTAGCTCCTTGGGAGGCTGAGGCAAGATAATGGCTTAGGCCCAAGAGTTTGAGGCTGCTGTGAGCTGTGACCTCATGGCATTCTACCTAGGGCAACATAGTGAAAATAAAGAAAAAAAGTAGAACTGCAACGACAAGCTAAGGAATCACACAGGTATTCATTTTCTAAATTCAAGACAAACTTGAGATACCTAAAAGAAAGAATAGATAATGCCAACAAAAGGATAATTCACAAATGATCTTTCAGGCAGGTGTAAATGATACTGGCATTTAGAAGAAGATTTCCTGTGTATTATCCTATATTTAATATTAGCATCAGGATAATCAACTAAAATTAAATATACTAAGGAAACAATGTAAATCACATTTTTAAAAGTAAAGTGAGACTTGAACTCCATAATTTCCTTAGCAATAGTAATACAAAAATTTAATAAGTTTTACACCAAGAATTGTACTGTTTATGAACTGTCAGATCTGGCTTGGGTCTTTTTATTCTATATAGTCTGAATGTTTTCAGTTTGTATCAAACACATTTACATTTTTTTAAAAACTTAGTAAAGTATCATCCTAATGCCAGCTTGCAGAGCTAAACTTAAGTCAACTCATGATACCACCATCCTCTATCACAGGTTAGTAAGATACCCAGGAATGCTTAAAAACAATAAAAATATTTTTTACACAATTGTACCCCAAACAATTGGCCTCAGAAATGGCGTTTGATATACTGAGGACAAAGATCACAACTTGATCTTTGTATTAAGTATTTAAGACGATAATATCAAACAATAATAACTGTGAAACCACAGAAAAAGCTATAGATTTTGAAATAGCCAAAAAAAATTATCTTTCATCATTCTATGTAATTTGCATTAAATGCACAGAAAGGGGAAACTTTGCTCCATCTGTCTTTCTATCTCCCCACTGTAAGCACTCGCCTATGTTCTTGTACGTTGAGAAACATACGTACCTTCAATGAGTGAAATATTCTTTGATACCACATTAGATAGATACCCTGGGAAACTGTCATGTCTATAGCCTTCAAATAGCCTGGTAATGTAAAATGATACAGAAAAAAACCTTCAGCAGAGTTGGCACAAGGTAGGCCCTTAGTAAATTAGGTATCATTGCTACCCCTACCATCACTTAGGGCACTGAAGAATAATTACTAAAATTGTGACCTTTAGGCTGGGCAAGGTGATTCATGCCTGTAATCCCAGCACTTTGGGAGGCCAAGGTGGCCGGATCGCCTGAGCTTAGGAATAAGACCAGCCTGAGCAAGAGGGAGACCCCCAGCTCAGCGCCTGTAGCTCAAGTGGCTAAGGTGCCAGCCACATACACCTGAGCTGATAGGTTCGAATCCAGCCCGGGCCTGCCAAACAACAATGATGGCTACAACCAAAAAAAAAATAGCCGGGCATTGTGGCGGGCGCCTGTGGTCCCAGCTACTTGGGAGGCAGAGGCAGGAGACTCGCTTGAGCCTAGGAGTTGGAGGTTGCTGTGAGCTATGATGCCATGGCACTCTACCCAGGGGGAATAGCTTAAAGCTCTGTCTCAAAAAAACAAAACAAAAAAACAAAAAAAAAGACGGAGACTCCTGTTTCTACTAATAATAGAAAAATTGGCTGGGTGTGGTGGTAGGTGCCTGTTCCAGCTAGCAGTCCCAGCTATTTGTGAGACTGAGACAAGAGGATTGCTCAAGCATAGAAGTTTGAGGTTGCTAGTGAGTTACAATGATGCCATAGCACTCTACCCAGGGCAACAGAGTGAGATTCTTTATCTCAAAAAAAAAAGAAAAAGCTCGGCGCCTGTAGCTCAAGCGGCTAAGGCGCCAGCCACATACACCAGAGCTGGCAGGTTCAAATCCATCCCAGGCTTGCCAAACAACAACAACTACAACCAAAAAAAATAACTGGGCGTTGTGGCGGACACCTGTAGTCCCAGCTATGTGGGAGGCTGAGGCAAGAGAATCGCTTAAGCCCAGGAGTTGGAGGTTGCTGTGAGCTGTGATGCCACAGCACTCTACCCAGGGCAACAGCTTGAGGCTCTGTCTCAAAAAAATAAAAAACTAAAAAAAATTAAAATTAAATGGTAACCTTTTAAAAAACAGTGACTCTATCTCCCCCCAAATTCTATTTTTTTAATATGTCAAATTATAATTAATAATAATATGATAGTTTTGCTAACATACATTAAGGTGGTTATAATATAGTAAAAATTTCATGGTTATTTGATAGTTTGAAAAGGCTTTACTTTTTCTTTTTTTGCAGTTTTCTTTTTGGCCAGGGCTGAGTTTGAACCCACCACCTCTGGTATATGGGGCTGGTGTCCTACTCCTTAAGCCACCCCTTTTTTTTTCTGAGACAGAGTCTTACTATGTTGCCCTAAGCAGTGTGCTGTTGTGTCATAGTTCACAGCAACCTCCAACTCTTGGGCTTAAGCGATTCTCTTGCCTCAGCCTCCCAAGTAGGTGGGACTACAGGCTCCCGATACAATGCCCAGCTATTTTTCTGTTGTAGTTGTCACTGTTGTTTTTAGCAGGCCTGGGACGGGTTCGAACCCGCCGACCCTGGTGTATGTGGTCAGTGCCCTAACCACTGAGCTATGGGTGCTGAGCTGAAAAAAGGCATTACTTTTTTAGCTACTATATATACCCAAACTAAAACTAAACAGAAAAATTCTATGAAAATCCTCAAAGTAGAAAAATATTTTCTATGGCAATAAAAGATTCTATTTTTTAAAAGGAAAATTAATGATTAAGAGAGAACCTATTTCTGAATAACAACTATAAATCTGCCCATCTACCTAATAGGTATAAAAATATCTGCATGTGAAAAATCTAAATTGACTGGATCAAAAGAGTAAGGTATTTCATAGAAAGTATTTTATTATCAGAAGAGTATGGTTTCCTATGTTTAAGATCTATTTATTATGGCATTTTTACAAGTAGCAAAGTCCCTCCATTTATTCCCGGGGAACATACATGAATATAAAAAGCTGCTGCAGTCCACACTGCCGGCCCCACCCACCCTGTGAAGGGGACAGGAAGCTGCGGCCTGTGAACAGGTCCTGAAGTGGCGATGGTTTCCTCTGTAACTGGGTCTTGAACTCTAGCACTCTAATCAGTCATCTTCCTGCTGATTTCTTTTCTGCCAATGGAAACGAAGCATACGTTAAATAGCACGTTCTAATTGGGACATTTACTCAACCAAGAGCTCTTCTTCTGTCACCAAGTGTAATTTACTAGAGGTGTTAGCAAAGATGTGACTGGAAATTATCATAGAGAAATGTGCCTTAACTAGTTCATTAAACTAGTTTATCACCCTGGTACCTTGGCAAATTATTCCCAGGCCTTTGAATATTTCCTTCTCTTTCTTTAATACATACCAACACCCCCCACAGAAACACACACAGAAATAAAATATTTACATCTCCTCTTGAATGAAATCACCACCACAGTAGAGATTTGGTCTTCTTGTGGCCTTATAACAATATACACATACTTCAGGAAATTTTTTAAAAACAATGTATGTGCAGACACTACAGCTAATTCAGTAACACCTGTGCTGATAATTTACATTCTCATCGCCTGTCTCTCAGATTAATGGCCCTGTTACTGTTAAGATGCCAGCAGGCATGAATGTATACCATAAATACGATGTATACCATAAAAACATTTTCTACTATTCTAATCAATACATTATTTTGTTCCTTCAGCTCATATTTCCTATTTCTTTATCAAATGATCTAACTCAGTGATATGGTTCCTTTAATTCATAATCATCAAAAAAAAGTATAGATGGTACAGAACTAAAATGAAACACTAAAAAGCCAATTTGAAAAGATACCAGTGTTCTAAATACACATATACGTTACCAGTTTAAGAAAATCTATGAGTTTGTGAGCATCTTCCCCAGTAGAGAGGTCCACGAAGTCCTTGGGCAGTCGGTAACTCAGGTAGGGGCTGGGCTGTACTGTGACCTCACTGTTTGTGCAACGGAAAGCTGGAGAATCCTTTACAAATGAGAAAAGGGAAGTATGCGAGTAATTTATTTTCAGGCCTGTCCTCTGAGCTAAATTAAAAAAAAGCCTAACCTAACAATTTCAACTCCATGTTCTTCCATACTAGATAATGAGAAAATAAGACTCTGAAGTAAAAGAAGGCACCAAGATTGTAAAATAATTCTACACATGCAATAGAAAATAAACACCAAGTTATCTGGGAAACAATATCATCATGAAGTGTTCGGTCAAGCCGTAACGGCTATCTGGGTACAGCCGCAGTGAGCACAGACAGGGTGTGGGTCTCTTTATCCCAAGTGGGCCAGGGCCTAAGGCCAGTCATCTCTGGCCTCCAGCAAGCTCACATAGGCCAGGATGCTTTATAATACTATTCTCCAGGTGTGCAGCTGGGAAACTCTTAGAGAACAGTTAACAGTGAGGGCAAGTGAGTGCTTCCAATTCCTTAACACGTCTGAACTTCTTTTAAGTCATTTAACTTATTTATGTGTATCTCTTTCATTGACTATGTAAAACTGCAAATTCAAGTATCACATTAAAGAGCTTCACATTCTTTAGTGCACTTGCTTTGAGTCTTGCAAAGTATATTTATAAGTTGTTTTGTACTAAAAATGATTTCAGAGACAAAGACCTGTGTGGTGGCAGGAATCTGGGTAAGGATGGTGCCCAGCAGAGATAGGCTGAGAACAAGAATGGATTGGGACCACGGAGCTCTACAAAGTAGGCTGTATCTTAACCAGACAGACCAATCATCTAACAAATAGCTAGGAAACATCTACTTTGTGCTGGACCTTGTTCTAGGTATGGGAGATAAATTGGTACATAAGACTGGGAGACAGTTAAGCAAGCAAGCAAACAAATTAACAAGATCATTTCAGACAGTACAAAGTGTCATGGAAACAAAGAGACAGGGCAGTATCCTGAGAGGACAACAACACCGACCATCTTAGAAGTGTGGTCAGGAAAGACCTTGCTAAACAGGCACCATCTGGGCCAAGGACTGAATGGGGGATGAAAGCAGCCTCCTGAGGGGCTGGGAGCAGAGGAAAGGACCAGCGCAAAGCCCTTCAGGCAAGAGAGAGCTCTGAGCTTGAGGGGCAGGGAAAACCCAGGCTCTGTGTCCTGAGCAGCAGGAGGACAGCCAGGAGGTGACGCTGGAGAAGGAAGCAAGAGCCAGTAAGTCCTTCCCTTTGTCATTCCTCAACCTCCAGTATTTTGAAGAACTGAATAAAATATCTGGATCAGAGTTAATCGTGCACAAAGTCGTTTGTAGCCAATAACTGTGTCCCTCATATTTAAAAATAACACCTGTGCTGGATGATTTACATTCTCATTGCCTGTCTCTCAGATTTAATGGCCCCGTTACTGTAAGATGACAGCAGGCGTGAATCCATTCAGTAATTTGACAAACAGAAACTGTGTCTGGCATGGTGCTGAGCCTTGCAGGTACATCAAAAATCAAGAGAGAGACTATAGCTATTTTCAGGAACTTACAGCCTAACACAGGACACAGTCAACAAGCCATCTGAACAGTCTGACAAGTGCTACCCTGGAGTAAACTGATGTGACTCAGGGCTGGAGGAAGGGGCCAAACAGGGCCTGGGACAGAATGACGTATTTCAGAGATGAGCAAAAGACAAGATGCTCACAATGAAAGCGAAGCAGGAAGCAACCGGGGGAGAACACGGGTCACAGGAGCCAGGGGAAGGAGTACTGCAAGGACACAGGAGGGCAGGGCGGTCAAGTCCTGCTGCGGCTCCAGGTGACGAGGACTCAGCTCACGCTCTGGAGTCACAGGAGCACTGGAGACCTTGCCAGGAGCAGTTCTGTGGAGTGGCAGGGCAGAAGCCAGCTGGCAGGGCCCTGAGGAGCACGTGGGTGAGACCAGGAGAACACACGGCAGCAAGGAGGGACAGCCATGGATGGAAGCTGGCTGTGACAAGGCACAACCACTGTGGCGGGTAAAAGAAGCAAGTCAAGGGGCAGTAGCAGTGAAACCAGCGTGTGGCCACTTCTGTAAAACGGCGTGCTCCCACCAAAGACGATGGAGAGCCACTACCTGAAGCAGTGGGAGAGGTGACTTCCAGGGGGCAGCCCTTCAAGTCCTGTTTCTAATTCTCTGTTTTCTTAAGTGACCATATAAAACTCAAACGATTTTTTAAAAAGATGTAACTGCCTATGTAGGATAATCTCATTTTTTCAAAAGGTGTATGTGTGTGTGTAAATGCATGTTACATATCAAAATATACACAGAAGTTCTTGAAGTGGAAGGTTGGGTTGGAGAGGATTTTATACTTTACTGTTAAAATGCACTTTTTTTATTGCTTTTTATGTATTACTTTTATAGGCAGAAAAGAAGCATTACAAAGTTGTTAAGAAAACTTTGGCTCTAAAGCTGAGAAAGCAGCAGCTGAGGCATAAAACAGGGTGGAACAGGGTTTGTTTTTTTCATGCGGGTGATGTTAGAACATGGCCAAGTCCCGATGGGCAGAGTGGGCAGACAGGAAGAGACTGGACAGAGTGGACACAGACACGGACACAGCATGCGGAGACAGGAGGAGCTCAGCAGCTGCAGGGAGCAGATGCGGCAGGGAGCAGACAAGTTCATAAGGTTTGTGTTTTTTTTTTTTTATTATTAAGACAGAGTCTCACTCTGTCACTCTTAGCAGAGTGCTGTGGCATCATCATAGCTCACAGCAACCTCAAACTCTTGGGCACCAGCGACCCTCCTGCCTCAGTCTCCCAAGTAGCTGGGACTACAGGAGCCCACAACAACATCCAGCTAATTTTTCTATTTTTAGTAGAGATGGGGTCTCGCTTTTGCTCAGGCTAGTCTTAAACACCTTGAGCTCAAGAGGTCCTCCTGCCTTGGCCTCCCAGTGTGCTAGGACTATAGGTGTGAGCCACGGGCCCAGCCAAGTTTGTAGGTTTATGACAATTCAACTGAGAGAATTCCTATCAGTGGTTCTCTTTTCCTACGAAAAGGAACCCGTATTATGAGGAAGGAAGACAGGACCACAGAGAAGATGCGAGCCAGCCACTGTGAGTAACAGAAGAGAGAGTTGGGGGTGGGGTGGGGGCTGTCAGGACACCAGGCCACCAACACAAGGTGGCAGTGGTCTGTGCTAAGGGTGTCACCTATCAGTGCTCAGCAGCTGCGGCTGGCCCAGACTAAGAACTGATCTTGGAAACCAGATCAAATTCTTCTAGGTAGGCGTGAGGGAAAGAGCTAACACAGGGAAAATAACTAGGAAAAAAATGGAACTGAAGATCCGCAGTTCTTACGCAGTTAAATGAGTGAAATCAGAACTCTTCCCTGACACCTTCCTGGGCAAGCAGCATCAGTCAATCTGTGCTACACTAGGCACTTTGCAAGGTCACTGCCCATCCACGTGTCTAACAACAAGCAAGCAATCGGTGGAATTCAGAAATATCTTCTGTAAAAATGCTTTACCTGCTCCTGAGCATCTCCTTCGCTAAAATCACCTTTCAAGTTTTTCTCAGATATCAGTTCCTCCCAAGTGAACAGCAGTGAATCTGTGACTTCACCAAATGGATTAAAGTCAATGAGCCACACCTTTCCCTGCAGTACAAGGAGACAGAAATTAATACAAAGTGAAAACCAAACACAGTTTGTGCTCTAGCTTTTTAAAAAGGTATTCTTCATATTCCCTCCAAAAGATTATCTTAAAAATCTGTAACTCATTTCAGGGTTACAGACATCAGTAGCCGGGTTTCTCCAGGTACCGCCCGAGCAAGGGCCACCTGTGTAAGCAGAGCAGACACAGCTCTGCAGGGACAGTCACCCGCAGGATGCAGGGAGAAGGGACCACAGGGGAAAGTCCCACTGAAGACGCAGCCTCCAACTCTGGCCTCAAGTCGCATGGAAATTTTAAGTCAAAAACTGAAGCAGGACAAAGGGAAATTTTACAAAAAGCTACGGCAGAGCAGCCTGACTACGGTGCCTTCCTGGGAGCTTTGGGTGCTATTTCTGGGGGGGATCTGTGTGAGCAAGCGCTCTGACTCCTGCAGGGTGTTTTTTTAACATACTGTCAAAGTACAGAAATGCTCAGTATTGTTCACATACTTGACATGGTGTGTGTCTGTCTGTATGACAGAGTCTGACAGCACATGAAGAGGGAGGAAGGAAGAGTCTACCTTGCCCTGTTCTGAGACACAGGTGGGTAACCTGGTAGATTCAAGGAAGATCACTTGTGACCTGGAGAGACCATGCCGGGGCAGAGCCAAGTGTGTCTGCGTAGAAAGTGGCACAGTCCTGACTAGCAGAACTGAGGAGCGTGTGCCATCCTGCCAGGAGTGACAGCCGAGTGTTTGATCACAAAGACCTAAGGGGTGTGTCGTGGATAAACGTTCCTTGAAATGTTTATCTTTGCTCTTTGTGGTTTTTCTCACGGAAACATTCATATATTTGTGTCATTTTGTTCTTAGTAATTCCTTCTTTAAATAAAGGTGCAGTTGTCACGTCTTGATCAGATGTGTGTGCGTAAAATTATACACATCTACGGAGCAGACTGCTGAGCCAGCTTCCTAGTGCTGTTTCTCCAGGGTTAAAGCAAAATTTTCAGAGGACTTGCTTCAAACACCAAAAACCTCTAGTAAGCAGCACAGAATTGTCACGGGAAGTTTCGCCATATACCATTTTAAGTTCCTTATTTTATACAACCCCCAGAGACAACCTACCCATCTCTCTTGCCACTTGGGCTGTCTCCTCACGTCAACTCAGCCACCCACTCCTACGTTCTTGAACCATGAAAATAACATGTATCAGCCATCCATCAATATCTTGGAATGTTGTTAGCTTTATTTTTTAGAGCTATTATTGTCTTTGATATGCTGAATACTATTTTAATAAAATATGTTTTTCAGCCTCTTGAGCCTTTCTAACTGATCTTCTATGACCAGTAAAATCATCCTATTATTAAAAGAAAGAAATGATCGTACCTATTAGTATAGAAATATTGAGCTCTATGAACTAAAAATATGCCACATTAGAAAAATATCAACAGAATAAATTTAAGAACAAAACAAAGCCTCCACTGCCAGCTGACAGAGAACACGCTATAGTTTAGAAGTCATTCTCTGTAATAGAATCAAAATAAAATAAAATAAAAAATTCTGAAGATCAGGACTGTACAGCTGTAACATGTTTTTCATGTGACATCTCAGGCACAAACATCTTCAGAAATCAGTTCTGTTTTTAGACAATCCATAAGGAAAGTGCAGCCAGACCAACAGTCCTTACACCCACCAACTGACGTCCACCTACCCCCACTGGTCTTGAGGTACCAGACACTGTGTTGGGGTATAAAGATCAGTAACAGAATCAATTCATTCCAGAAGCTCAGGCTAGATCAGAACACACCATCCTATCCCCCAAGATCACCCAACAATGACAATGTGGAGGGCAATCTGTCAACAGAGGCAAAAGCAGAAAATTGTAACACTGGAGTGGTGCACGGGAACCCTGGAAATGCTTCCCAAAGGAGCTTGAGATCTGAAGGACACTAGTGACAAAGATCCAGGAGGGAGACGGATGGTGAAGGAAAAGTAGACCATTTCAAAAGAAAAAAAAATGACACTCACAGGTGCCCAGGCCACGCAGTGCTGCCCCCTCCTGGGAAGAGGCTGCTCTGGCTACAGTGTAAAACCCACAATGCCTCCGGAATATAGTTGGCTAAGGTAACTTTAAAAGCCTCCTGTTCAAAGGGGAATCCTCAGGGGCCTGAAATAAAGATGAATCTGTCACACAGAGCTAAGTGTATAAACTAATGCTGTGGGAACCCTGGGGAGGATTTTCCTCCTAAGAACTGAAGGGCATGGGTTTTAATGCCCAGGAGATGGCCACAGGAAGACAATCAGAACTCAGAAGTGAACTGCAGGGGCTGCAACCTCAGTAAAGGAAATGTAAGAAAAAGATTCTAACGACTGGAATCTGAAACAACGATGCTGTCTTTCTCTGACTGGGTTTGGGGAACAAGGTAAAAGCAAATAAAAAATTTAAAATTTAGGACCTTGGAGATTCTCACAGATAATAAAACAAGCTCACTCAAGATGAACTCAAAGTGAAATAAGTAAACTGATTTACAAGACCAAAGAGGAACGATCAACATGAATGGGAGTCTGCAAATAAAACAGGAATTCAAGACCTAAGAACTTGGGAAAATCCTTATCCGTCTGGAAAGACAAAATAAAATAACAGCACTGTAACAACTAGGTAGAAATCTAAAAAAAGACTAAGTTGCATCCACACTGCATACCAAATAGACCAGGGAACTAATGCAAAATAGATCAAAGACTTAAAAGTAAAACAAGAAATCTGAAAAGAACCAGGTAAGAAAATGCACGTTCCAAGGCTACATCCCAGACCTGCTTTGACTATTAGCATCTACCAAGACAATATTAACTTGCCCATCCACAATAAGAAATGAAATACATCAAAGCGTTGCCAAGTCTACACATATTTCAGTTGTATTTCATGCAAGAAACCACCAAAGAACAGAGTTGATTTTCTACAAGAAGAGCCACAGAATTAAATAGTCAAGAAAGTGCCTAACAAACTCTGATAGCAGTGCCACTGAATAAATGCAAGTGAGTTTTACATCATGGTTTGAAACTCTTCTCAGAAACTATCAGGATGTTTACACAGGCTTGTTTCACACTTTTAGAAACCTATCTAGTTTCAGGTCTGTAAGATCACAGCAGTAATTGCTTACACACTCGTCCAACTTCATTTAAGACATTCTTAACTCCTTACCAAGTTAAAAATTTGCATTTATCTGTCAGTCTTACTGAATTACAATAAACCAGGACATTGACCAGGGATATACTGAGAGACCTTGACAATTTCCAACATTTCTAAGTATCACTGTATACAATATAATCGCCTCCATTTGGGGATGTGTATAATACCTACATACCTCCCAGGAATGTAAAGACCAAATGAGATACTGAATCAAATAAGAATAAAGCCCTTTTAAGAACTGAGAATACTCAGGACAACAGGCCCGGTTTACTCACTTACTGACTTTATATTGCCTGTTACGGGGCCATTCCCTGGAATGTTGTCATTCCCTTGTCACTCCACTTGAAAATCAGAAACTCCTCAAAGACAGAAGATTATCTTGTTTGAAAGTTCTTGTTAGAAGCATGGCATCCAGCACATCCCAGACTGTCAATAAGCAATGGCTGCACAAGTGACCAGACTCACTCAACATAGGTGAGTTAGGAGCAGAGCGAGGGCTGGAGTCCCGAGCATCTGCTGGAGGTTTCTATCCACTCCATCACACAGGCTTCCCACCCTTTCTACATGTGTCCACACAGTTGAAACTCTGCCAAGTAACAGCCTTCCTTCTTTGCCAAATCGCAATTTACAGCCACTCTTTCTAATAACTCTTAATTGACACCCTCTACCTTGAAGATAAAGAGGCGAAAATACAGTGATGACTTTGAAATTAACAATAATTAACCCTTATTTCGGGACTTGACCATACAGATCATGTCTTTTTACCCAAAAGATGATTTAAAGGAATCACACATCTCACTACAATGAGACTGACAGAAGCAGGATGGGGGAGGACAAGAATCCTGTCAGTGCAGGTAACAGACTGGAAACCGCATCTGCTATCTTCTTAACAGATAAGTCAATAAGCAGTAATTACCACAGGACACTTAGTGACCTAAATGTCTTTGAAAAGATTACATGTCTTGGAGAGTGAAATCTCTGCTACAGAAATTCTTAAGTCCTTTATGCTTACATTTTCATTAAGAAAAATTATCACTTTTGAGATTTAAAGAATAAATGTAAACTAATCAATTCTTTATCTTTAGTCTATAAATAAAAGTGACTCAAATCATGCTAAAGTCTCTTTGTTATCTGAAATAATTACCTAAATATCAAATGAAAAATTCCTGGCTGTATTTGAGTATGCAAACTAAATTATTTTAAGCAGGCCTAGACCGCTGATTAAAGTGTAAAGGAGGACGTTAAGGTGGCCATTTACCCTCCCTTAAGTGAATAATCCCTAAACCATAGCATGCAATTATTTAAAATACTGTGACTCCTAATGTTAAATATATTTTAAGAGGAGATTCTTGACTACTGTGAATTTCAAACACCTTAGTTTGAAGGAAAACAACTGTATTTTTTGAGAATGGTCCTGCTCTATTGCCTAGGCTAGAGTGTAGTGGCATCATTGTAGCTCACTACAAACTCCAACATTTGGGCTCAGTTGCCTCAGTGTTCTGAGTAGCTGGGACTACAGGTGCACATTATCATGGCTGGCTAACGTTTAAATTTCTTTAAGATGGAGTCTTGCTATACTGCCCAGGCTGGTCTCAAAATCCTGGTGTCAAGTGATCCTCCTGCCTCAGCCTCCCACAGTGCTAAGATTAGAGACATGAGCCACCATACCCAGCCTGAGAAATTATTTTTTGGGCAGTATACCCTCTACATACATAATAGCTGTGCACTATGCTTGCTTTTAAGACCAGTCCTGATTTTAAAGCATATCAAATATAGTTTTTACTTACCCTACTATCTCTATATATATCGAATACAACTGTAAAAGAGAAAAAACTCAAAGTTATTAATGAATTTCATAATCTAAATGTCCTTTAGAAAATCAAAGTGCATTTTATTATAGCAGACTATAATTGACATTGAGGCTTGATGCTTCTAAATCTCAAAACTTCAAACATAAAATAGCAACCTGCAATGTTTTATTCATAACTGTGCCTTATGTGTCTGTCTCCAATCATAACCCCGATGTAGTATAACTTCTGTCAGCTGACCACCCAAGGGACTGTAACAAACTGGTCACCATATGGAGGAACTAGGACTACTTTACTGATACATACCTGTGGTGCATGTCCAATCTTTGAAAATTAGGTCAACGTAAGGAGGTAGTCAATGTTGGGACGGATCAACTACTGTATTTAAAAAATTTAAACCAAACACCAACATCATCTCAACCAGTTCACCATAATAAACTGGTTATATGGGAAATGAAGGAAGCTATCACTGAAGAAAACATGAGTGAAAGGAGTATCAATTGCCTATTTGGGGAATAAAGTGAGTAAAATTTGTAATAAGAAAGCATAAAATCTATGCTTGGGGTATGATTCATCCTTTTTAAAAATCAAATATGCCACACAATGCAGTGTTGGCAAGCAGAGAAAATGTAAATCGTAGCAGATATAATTTTAAGATGTATAAAAACTCACATACAATATACTTTCAATTCCTAAAAACAACCCACAGATGTTTACTTTATAACCACTGCTGTGTTTGATCACCCACACAAAGAAGAAAGGTTTTGTTCTCTGCAGAGAGACCCTTTGAAATACATAATCGGACATATAAAATGACAGAAGAGAGAACTGTCTCAGTATTAAAAATGGATTCTAGTTCAATAAGGTGAGATTAACATTCAAGTCATCAGTAACCCCAACTAACAATACAGTAAAATGCTTAGAATACAGGATTTCAAGTCCAGTTTTTAAAATATGCACCACAGTAAAATAACAATATGCATTTCATTTCATTTCACTGGGTCAATAAAAAATACTCACAGTCTTCATCTAAGAATTTATACTGTATGTGTTTCTTGAAAAACTCCTGTATGCCTCTGCAAATTTCTTCCTTTTGTTTAGAAATATGATCATAGTATTGTGTGTAGTCCCTTTGAGAAACACCTAACAAGAAAAGATTTTATAATATTATTATACAATATTCTTTCCAAAACATCAACATGTGATTAAACATTTTCTGGAGGGAACCAGTAAAACAGATCAGAGGACCAATCCCAGGGACGCTGCCTTGCACTTTATTCAGCTACGAAGATTCATATGGATAGTTGAATCCTAAAGTTCCCATTGCCATGAATTCTCACTGCTGCAAACAGTTATTTTTATTTAATACAATGGGAAGAATTCTAAGTCACAAAAAGGCTTGTTATGTAAGGAATGAAAGCAGCAATCTGAAATCTGCGTACATAATCAACTGCTACTGCTTTGGTTTTTCCCAAGTACCTGCAATTGGCATTCACTTCTACTTCCCGAGAAACCATGAAATGCTCCTCGTGGCACGTCAGTCACACTGATGTTACATTTCACAGGAGTCGTCTGTTTTTCTTGTTCACACACACACTCTGCCTTCACAAGCCTGATCTTTCAAGCCATGGAAAAGTAAACATTCCCTTTTTCAGAGTAACTTGCTGACATTATTCCAAATACACTAAAAAGACTATTATAGGAACTTCCTTAACTTGCTCCAGTCCTAGGAAAGACCTCTGCTCTGAAACACGGTCTCTAATTCCTTAATCACATGCCAACGTGCCTCCCTTTTTAGCTTACACATACTGCAGTTTTTTTAGGAATATCTAACAACGTGATAAATTTGAAACCCCCAAGTTTCTTTTAGGTAGATTATGTCAACATCATATTCAATGACTAAATAGTGTTGACCTGATTCTATTACGTTACAGTTTTCTTGGTTGAAGATAAATTTTACTTTATGGAAAATATGCGTAAGCCAAAAAAAAAAGGAGGAGGAAAAGAAAAGAAAAACCCCACAACAGCTACTTATCTTCAATATTTAACATGAATTAATCTTAGCAAACAAAACAGTAACCTGAAGGACAGGTTACTTTTGTGAAAACACACTTATCTGTCCACTTATTTTCTCTTACTAGAACAATAAACAGTGACCCAGCAATAGAAATAAAGGTTCAAAACCTTGGTTTTTCATGATGCTTAAAATAAGCAATCTATTGCTACGTAATACTCAGGAAAGTCTCAAATAAAAAGTAGGTAATATTGGCTTGGCACCTGTGGCTCAAGTGACTAAGGTGCCAGCCATATACACCTGAGCTGGTGGGTTTGAATCCAGCCTGGGCCCGCCAAACAACAATGACAGCTGCAACCAAAAAAACAGCCAGGTGTTGTGCAGCCACCTGTAGTCCCAGCTACTTGGGAGGTGGAGGTAGGAGAATCGCTTGAGCCCAAGAGTTTGAGGTTGTTGTGAGCTGGGATACCATAGCACTCTACCCAGGGTGACAGCTTGAGGCTCTGTCTCAAAAAAAAAAAAAAAAGTAGGTAATATTATACATATCCTACATCAGAACAGGGATAACCACCACTTTCATCTCTGAAATCCAGGCAGACATGAGGCACAAAAACTGTGGAAACTGAAGATGGGCTCGGGATCCTTGTCAGCCTAGCAGTCTAGAAAGTCAGGGCCAGTGGTTAGAGGTGGCATCTGAGATTAAAACTGACGATCACTCTGTTCCAATTACTAAAACTTTACTTCCACTGAAAGCTTCTCTTCTTTCTTTTCAAGATCCCTTTCAAGGGTAAAAAAACCAAAAACCAAAAAACCCTCACCAATAAGCTTGTTTTCCTTGACAAAACATCGGAACTCAGCTCCAGGAATTAATTCACACCATTTTCGGAGGACAAGCTGCAGACAAAGGCAAAAATATCAACAACCATGTGACAAGGTCCGATAGGCAATTTTATGACCAGACTGTATCTTAACGCTTGCCATTATCCAATGGTTTTTAAAAAGAGGCAGCATACGGCATTCTTAACATGAGATGGAGGGAACAAAGTTGTGATCTATTACTCTAATATGCAGGTTGAAATTGTGGTGACTACTTATGACAAAATGCATCTTTGTCTCTTTTCTGCCATTTTGAGAGTTCTGACATACACACAAGGAGGACTAAGGTGACTAAGTCAAACCTTACTGCTGCTGTGCCCTAAGTTATCCTCTAATTCATACATTCTGTATCCCTTTAAGAATATCAAAAAAAGTAAAATAATTACAAAGTTATCTACCTTAAGTACCATTTGGTATTCCTTACTCTGATAAAATTATTTATCACAAAGAATCACTATAACCCTTCATGATATTCTCATTAAAGTAAACCGATTCTACCCAAGTGGCTTATCATAATGGGTCCTATTACTGAAATTAGTGATTATTTAATATACATAAACTTTCACATACTACTAAATTGCTATAATTTTAGAAATAGTATGGTTGCCAAATATATGCTTCTGTTTGTGTTTTTAAAATGTTTTTTGAGCCGAGTGTGGTGGCTCACAACTGCACTTTGGGAGCCAAGACAGGTGGATTGTCTGAGCTCAGGAGTTCAAGAGCAGCCTGAGCAAGAGTGAGACCCCCGTCTCTACTAAAAATAGAAAAACTAGCTAGGTGGTGTGGCAGGCACCTTTAGTCCCAGCTACTTGAGAAGCTGAGGCAAGAGGGTTGCTTGTGTCCTAGAGTTGGAGGCTGGAGTGAGGTATGAAGCCAAGGCACTCTACCAGAGCAACAGTAAGACTCTGTCTCAAAAAAAAATCTCTGGAAAAAATCAGTCCTGTTCCTGTGCATCAGCAGCTGGTCATGAATGGCTGGCACCCCCTCCAGACACACTCTTTGCCCTTCCAGACCTGTCAGATGGAACGTGAATTACCCCAGGTACAGTCCCTGAATCCCCTCAGTGGCCTTGGTGTTCTCCACACTGCCTCTCACAATTCTCATGCATAACCCTGTTTACTAAGCATATAATCATGTTGTACCATGACAATTAGATACAGGTCTCTCTTCCCTACTAACTGACAAGTTCCCTAAGGGCCAGAAACTGGGTTTTATTCATCTTTGTGTTCCCAGCACAAATAGGTAATATATAATAGGTGTTTAAGAAATATCTGTCAAATGAAACAACAAACACATTAAGACAAGCAGCTTCTAAACATCATGTTATAAAAACGTATTTAATGACCTGGGAAAATGCTCCCACTGTGCTACAAGCAAAAATAAGCTACAAAATGTTATGCCAAGTACTTAGAAAGAGTATGCGGTATACACACATACACCTACATCTCAAGAAAGGGAAGTTAAAGACCAAATGTTAAAATGAGGATGTATCCGAGTAGTAGGTTCCTCATATTTTCTTCCATGTTAAAATTTTTGGTAACAATATATTTCTCTTCTTAAAAAACAAGAAAATATATTTTTTAAATACCTTAGAATTTTAAAATGCACCAATTTCATTTTTCATTATTGTGAGCCTGGTATATGTCATTATTTTTAAAAAGAACCTAATTATTACATGAAGACGCTAAAATATTATACAGTTCTTATCTGTTAAAAGCTTATGGGCTGGGCACACTGGGTCACACCTACAATCCTACCACTTTGGGAGGCTGAGGCAGGAGGATCACTTGAGGCCCACAAATTGAAGACCAGCTTGAGCAACAGTGAGACCCTTTTCTACAAAAAATAGAAAAATTAGCCTCATGTGGTAGCATGTGCCTATAGTCCCAGCTTCCCAGCTACTTGGGAGACTAAGGCCGAAGGATCGCTCTAACCCAGATGTTTGAAGTTGCAATGAGCTATGATGATGCTATTATACTCTAACCCGGGCAACAGAATGAGACTCTGTCTCAAAAAACAAAACAAAACAAAACTAACTTATGTTGGCATATATACATATGTGTATATATGTAAGATTTTATACATATATAAAACTATATACATGTTTTTATCTTTACAATAATTTTAGTTCAGCAATAATAGGCAATTATAGCATTCTAACAGTTATTGAAAATTTTGTGTAATCTTTATCAACAGTATTTTGTCCAGGTAATACATACATTGTGGTTCATATAAAAAGGACACAAAGGAGAAAAAGTGACTCTCTTTCCCACCTAGTCCCTCTGCCCACCTAAGAGGCAACCAGTTTCTTGTACATCTTTTGGAAGTATTCTATGACTAGATAAGTATATAGTGTATGTATTTTATAACCTGGGAAAATGCTTATACTATGCTATTAGTGGGAGAAAAACCTCACAAGAGATCTTGATTACAAGTAAATAGTAAATTAAATAGTAAATTAACTGTTTCCCACTAGGGTATAATCACAGAAGACGGGCCAATATGTACATTCACGCTAAAAGTTACTCAGACAGTCAGGAGATACAATTTGGAAGCAGGTGTATATATATCAAAGTGGCTAGAAGCAACAGACACCAAAGACATTTTTAAAAAATCACTGCACAATGCCTTGCCACCTGTAGCTCTGCAGCTGGGGCCCCAGCCACATACACCAGAGCTGGTGGGTTCGAACCCAGCCCAGGGCCTGCCAAACAACAATGACAACTACCACCACCACTACCACAACAATCATAAAAAATAGTCAGCCGTTGTGGAGGGCACCTGTAGTCCCAGCTACTTGGGAGGCTGAGGCAAGAGAATCACTTAAGTCCAAGAATTTGCGGTTGCTGTGAGCTGTGTTGCCATAGCCCTCTACCGAGGGTGACATAGTAAGACTCTGTCTCCAGAAAAAAAAAAAATCACTGCATTAATTCTATTTTTTTTTTTTTGAGGTTTTTGGCTGGGGCTGGGTTTGAACCCACCACCTCTAGTATATGGGGCCGATGCCCTACTCCTTTGAGCCACAGGCACCACCCACTGCACTAATTCTAATTGCTGTTATAAACCAAAAATAAAATTTTCATGTAAATGTAAAAATACAATTATGGAGCAAAGACAGCCATCCTCTTTTCAACAAATTATGAGCTGTCATAAAGTTTCAAAAGCATTAGATTTGACAATGCGAGTACAAGAAGAACCACCCAGGAATGAGGGCAAGCAAGAGCCTATCGGGATATAGCTGAAACCAGAATCAGCGTTTAAAAGGCAGGCGTGTTCCAGTGGATGTGCAGCTGGTTATATGCAAGAACACTGCTCATTTCAGGGGATGGTGTATGTGTGCTGTGTGGTGTCTACATACTCAAAACCAAGAAAATATGGAATAAAAATGGGAGTTTTCTATGCTTCAACTCATTAAAATTTCTAATAAAGTTGTCTTTTCACTATCCTTTTATTCTTACTTTCATAAGTTATTTGCAAAATGAGTGAACAAAATAAAAAATGCTAAGGTGGTGAAACTTAATCAGGTTCAGCTGGGTGAGGTGCATAAAAGTGTTTTAGTAAAGGATATGCATATTCTATATAGTAGGTTTATAATGCACACGTATATTCTGTATGTAACATATATTCTTTCATAGTTTCTGAGGTATCTCACAAATTTAAAAATTCAGTGGCTCTGGAGAGAAATTAATCAAAAAATCTTTATTATTTCATTTAATTATAAATATCAAGTCTCAAAACATCTTCATCTAGGATTATCAAGGAAAATAAAAGTTTCTTACCTCATATTCTATACAAGGATCTGGAGAATCATCAGTACAATGAATAAATCTTTAGAGAGAAAAAAGGCAAGTGAATCTTTTTTTTTTTTTTGCTGGGGTCAGTTTTCACACACACATTCTTCACGTTTACCATGAGAGTAAAGTTCTACTGAAAGCATCCAGAAATGGGAGACCAGTGCAAATGCAATGACATTTATTAAGCATTATTTAGGGCTATGCATTAGCTGAGGCACCCTGAGGTGTCATCTCATTTAATCCTCAAAATAATATCACGGGTTATTAAAATCCTAGAGATAGCATAATCTCCATTTTTCTGTTCAAAGGCGAAGAAACTAATACCCAGAAAAGCCCACACTTAGCACCCAGGGCAGGGCTGTAGTTCAAACTGTCCGGTGCTCAGCTGGGGCGGCAGGAAGGTACTGCCACCTTACACATTGTCAGGATCTGCTTCCCCCTTGGGGCCATCTAAAGCCACATGAGGTTAATCTAATCCTCCTCCCACAGGCCATTTAAAAAAATATTTCATAGAACTATTCAGCCCTCCATTAAGTATATTGCTTCCTCCTCTGAAAATTCAGTTTCATGAACAGTATTTCATTTCATTATTAAATGCCTACCCATACGGCACTGGAGTGTGAGAAATGACCAAAGCCCCTTTGTCCTTTAGGTCAGTCGGGTGACTAAAGAGTAAACACAGACTTTCAAAACACTGGAGAAAATAAAAGTCCTCCAAAGGCATAAAACAAGAAGTGATGAGCTGTCTGCTGTCTGCGGGAAGGAGAGGGGTGAAGTCTAGAAGGGGTCCAACAATTAAGGCAAAGGTGAATATGCTCAGGCAGGGAGGGTGGGGGGAAAGGCTTGGCAGTATTCAGGGAAGACAGATTAGTACTTATGGAGTGTGGGACGCAAGGGAGGACCTGCCAAAAGATAGAGCTGGACAGAAAGCCTGGACCTTGAGAGGTATCAGGAAAGGCCCTGTTTGCCTACCTACGCAGGCTGAACCTCATTACACAGACATTGGGGAGTTATAAAGTCTCTGAATGTGTGAGAGAAATTATTCCCTTTACACTACGCGTGTATCACTACAGTGCAATGATACTGGGTAGTCTGGGGGAAAGGGTGGCGACGTGGGTGGCAGAGAGACTAGTCAGACGCAATCATCTGTTGCAATCATCTCTCGTGAGAGAGAGACGGTCCAACTGAGGCAAGGGGAATAGAGGAAAAGGGGAGATGCGCAATAAAAAGACAGTTAGTAGGCAGAGTTGGTATGACCTGGAGACTGACTGAAAGAGAGGGAGCAGGGAGAAAGAGGCCAGGGTGTCTGTCTAGAGGACTGGCTGAGGCTGGACAAAAGGGGTGAGCAAAGATGAAGCGTGCTGTACTTGGGCGTGTACAACTGGTGATGTCCAGTAAGCAACAGGAAACAAGGCAACTCTGAAAAGAGGGAGGAGATGAAGACAATTCTCCAGAAGTAATAATCACATGGGTTTTAGAGCTGAAGCCAAGGAAGTGGAAGTGATCCCCTGAGGCAGATGACAGAATTCTGGGGAACACCAACAATTAAAGAAGAAAAAGAGCTGGAGAAGGCGGCTGAAATACTAACAGAGGAGGGGGTGAGAAGATGGCATCCTGAATGTCAAGGAAATGGTGACCTGCCTCAATGCCACTGTAAAGTCAGACCAGTGGCTGGTGACTGCAGCCAGGGCAACTTGAGCTCATACAAAGGCTGAAACTACCTCACAGAGAACCAAGAAATGAACGGGAGGTGAGAAAACGAGAACAAATACCTCAGAGCAGCCCGACTAGGAAAGGTGGAAGAGAGAGGAGCACAGAGGACAGAAAGGTAATGCCTAGCTGGCTGTCTTTAGCTTTTGTCTTTTAGTCTTTAAGAATGACATGGACCCATGGCATAGTGGTCACAGCACCAGCCACGGGCACCGAGGCTGGAGGGTTCAAACCCAGCCTGGGCCAGCTAAGCAACAATGACAACTGCAACAGAAAAATAGCCGGGTGTTGTGGTGGGCACCTGTAGTCCCAGCTACTTGGGAGGCTGAGGCAAGAAAATTGCCTAAGCCCAGGAGTTGGAGATTGCTGTGAGCTACAACGCCACAGCATTCTACCGATAGTGACACAGTGAGACTCTGTCTCAAAAAAAAAAAAAAAAGAATGACATGAATCAGCAGAGGGTGTGAGGATATGGGACAGAAAAGGAAAGGCAGTGAGACAGCTTCTGTATATGGCACATAAACTCGTAACACACACACAACACATATGCATAGTACATTTATATGACTTACACTTGAGAGATTTTTATAAAACACACACAAACAACAAAAAAACACTTTTAAATCTGTCTTAAACTACTTACAAGCAAAACTGAGTTTGAAAAGCTTTTTAATTTTCCTGAATGTGATTAAGCTGAAATTATCACCCCTCATATATAATTTATACTATGAATAACAATTTTAGTTTATTTGACTGGCTGAAATCCTAAGAAAAATGACTTCTATTACCACTTATATATAATTATACACTGACTAATAAAATCTGCATTGCAAAGAAAGGTACATATAAGGTGTTTTTAAAAAGCCAGTGGGTTCTTTCTATATTAGTAGGATTTACTTACTGAACACTTATCACTTGCCAGGCCCTGTATGAAGTGTTTTACGTCTACTGTCTTGTTTTATCCTTACGATAATCCTATGAGAAAGGCCTATCTCATCATCCATATTTATTGTGGCTCAGAAAGAGGACATGACAGGTAAGTGGGCGAGAGACTGCACTAAATCGGGTGCCCCACCACTTCTCTCATAGATGGAGATTCTAGGCCCGTTATTAAAGCTCTCAGATTAAGTTTAAAAATAAAACAGAAAAACAGCACAAATACTGGCAACACTTCAGGCTCAAGCAGAACACATATCACTGTTAAAAAACAGCTACCACTAATCAAATCTGATTTCCATAATGTAAGATGGGTCTTCCAAAATAATAATGTGTAAAACTTCTGTTTTTATATATTCAAGCTAAGCACACACTGGCGCTATTTTAAGACTTCATTTTTCTCTGGAAAGCAAAAATCCCTAATTTACCTTTAAACTAATTTAAAGGTATGTTACCGTAAGGAGTTATAACCTAAAACTAGAAAGGCAGCTTTCAATACATTGAAAATCTTTTCTAATAAAAATTAATCCCCTAGGTTGTTTCACGTTAATCAAAATTAAGATCATGAATTGTCAGGTTAATAAAAATTAACACAATTATTTTTATCCTTAAATAAACCACCCTTTCCCCCCAAGGATCAGGAGCACTAAACATGTCTGTGGTGCATTACACTGAACATTTCCTATCATTTAAGAAAATTACAACACAGGGTCAGTTCAGAGACAAGTCAAATATTCTGGATTAGATATAATCTACATAAAAAAGAAAAGGAAATGTTCCAATGAATGTAAGAAAACAATAGACTAGATGTAAAAATAAAAATCAGGATCTTGGGTTCTGTATGAGCATTTTATATGATGTAAAGCATATACATGAGCATCATATATGATCTTAGAAGGCAATTAAACTTCTCTGGCTGGCTCTTAGCTGCAGCAGCAGTAAATGACAGTAAATGGTAGGCGGAATCAGGCAATTTCTCAAGTCCTTTATATAATCAAATCTGCAGGCTCGGCGCCTGTGGCTCAAGTGGCTAAGGCGTCAGCCACATACACCTAAGGTGGAGGGTTCAAATCCAACCTGGGTCCGCCAAAACCACAATGATGGCTGCAACCAAAAAGTAGCTGGGCGCCTGTGGTCCCAGCTACTTGGGAGGCAGAGGCAGGAGACTCACTTGAGCCCAGGAGTTGAAGGTTGCTGTGCGCTGTGATACCACAGCACTCTACCCAGGGGGACAGCTTGAGGCTCTGTCTCAAAAAAAAAAAAAAAATCTGCAGACAGCCTTCTTTCCTCGATCTTTGTTGTTAATCACTTGCTGCATATGGAACCTTAGGTATGCCAGAGCTTCTAGAACACAGCTTTGAAAACAAAAATGTAGGGTTACAATGAGATGGGTCAAGTTTGCAAAATACATCCCCAGAGATTCTGATCCAAAATGTCTAAGATGGGGACCAGACATCGATGTTTGGAAAAGGTGGTCCTGAGGAGTAGCCCCAGCTCTAAACTGGTAAGAGGTCTTGGGGGAAGGGCCAGCCAGAGTCCTGGTCAATGTGTCTGCACCATTGCTGGGAAAGGGAGAGACAGAAAAGGGAGGAAACCCCAAACTGGAACAACTGGAACCCCGAGCTGAGCTTCAGAGCAGCAGCTTCGGCTAGAAAAGTCAGTCTGGCTCACCTAAAACCCACCAGGTCATGCAGGGTTGAACATGTTGTCAACCACTATCAAAATGCTACTTTGCATGAAACCTTCTGAATTTGTGGCTAAGATAGATCTGCAGATACATGACCAAGATGATCCCTGACTGTCTCTTTAGATAGTTACATAGGCAGGGCATAACGGCTCACCCTGTAATTCTAGTAATCTGGGAGGCTGGGATGAGAGGATCATTTAAAGCCCAGGAATTTGAGACTAGTCTGAGCAGAAGTGAAACCCCGTTTTTACTAAAAACAGAAAAATTAGCTAGGTATGGTGACATATGTTACACAGGAGGCTGAGGCAGGAGGATCACTTAAGCCCAGGAGTTGGAGGCTGCAGTGAGCTACGATGATGACTCTGCTGCCATTCTAGCTAGGGCCACAGAGTGAGACTCTGTCTCAAACAAAGAAACAAACAAACAAACAAATCCCTAAAAGTGTCGCTAGCCTTTCTTTCCTACCTGAACAGCCTAAAGATTTTAATTAGTAAAAGATGCTAATTATTCCAAGAATTCTATTGTAAACATTTTATCCTTAAAACATTTTTCTTCAATTCCTTTTTAAATTTTGAGTGAAGGGACACAACCACAAGAGGGACTCTACCTGACAAGTGCAAACACTGCAACCTCGTAGTGTCTACTCTCACATTAATCTGAAATACAAAAAATAAATCAACAAATTCTAAGTGAAAACTGCG